ATAAATGCTTATGGCTGTGATCAAATAACACAAAATGTGTGCAAAGAGGCTTTCCAAACAAGAATAATGAAATTGAACAAGTGTAACTGACGCAGCATAGAATGAGATAGGAATGTGGCCGTTTTTCTGTCTGTTTCATAGCACTGACCACATTCCAATTTTTTTTTTTGGTCTCTGCACTCTGAATTGCGAGACCTGAAATTACAGGGACCATATCTGTCTTGCTTATCACTGTATGTCCAGGACCTAGGAGCATCTATTCAAAAAATATTTTTGGCGGTGCTTGGGTGGCTCAGTCGGCTGAGCGACCGACCTCGGCTCAGGTCATGATCTCACGTTTTGTGAGTTCAAGTCCTGCGTTGGGCTCTGTGCTGACAGCTTAGAGCCTGGAGCCTGCTTTGGATTCTGTGTCTCCTTCTCTCTCTGTTCCTTCCCTGCTCATGCTCTCTCTCTCTCTCTCTCTCTCTCTCTGTCTCTGTCTCTCTCTCTGTCTCTGTCTCTCTCTCAAAAATAAATAAACATTTAAAAAATAAATATTTTTTGAATGGGTGGGTAGATTAATGAATGACGCTCTCTGCTCTCTTTCCAGGGATCATGACCAGTTGTCCTAGCCAGTTCTGCTATCCTCTAGAAAGCCTTGATCCTACACATGGGCACCCTCACTATCCAGCCAGTCAGACTCCATATGCAGCCAGCTTTTATACTGAAGCTAAACCCAAGGCTTAACCAATGGGTGTTACTTACAAAGACTCATGTACAGGATTTCTTTGGGCAATTGCTCTCTGCCTGTCTTGTTACTACTTGCTTTAGTACTCTCTTGTATCCAAATATTCTTCTCTTTCTCTGTCCCGTCCCTAAACAAAACTCCTTTATTTATACAGAGGGACTGGAGAACCGCTTAGGAAATATTGTACCCCTCCTCCCTGGGATGGCGTCTCCTTCCCTACTTGACTAATCGGGGGCTTGGCCGTGTGACTTTTTTTGGAAAGTTAGTGGATGTGATGTGAGCAGAGGCCTTAAATGTGCATGTGCATCTGGCTTAGCCGCTAGTGTTTTTGCAACCCACCTGAGCAGCGTACATCCCAAGTAGCTGCTGCTCCTTTGGGGCTGAGCTCTGAAGCCAGAGTGCAAACCAGGCCAACACAGCTGAAATCAGTGGAACCCCAGCCAACCCCCAGATGTATGAAAAAGGAAAATAAACATTTGTCCTTTTGAGATAGTTTGTTACACACACACACACACACACACACACACAAACTAATACAGATGAACACATTATCACCACTACTTCTGAAAGCTTCACTTGGAAGTTCTGCTCTATGATCACAGCACCCCTCCCGTCTACATGTTTCACTCCTCTGTCACCACTGCACCCGATCTCCCACCTCGCTGACGCCTCTGGTCTCTGTCCTTTCTCCAGCCTCTTTCGGGTTTCATGTGGTCCCCAGTGTGGACAATTGTGTCTTAGCCAAGGCACAGACCTACCAGATGACTGGTTTGAGTCCCCTCTGCTGCGCAGCTGCTCGAGAGCACTGCCCAACTGCGTGGGCAGTACCACCCGCACGGGGGATCCAGCTGCAACGGGTCCTCAGTCTACTCGGCCAAGCGTTACTTCACCTTGAGCTGTGCCTCTCCCTAGTCCTCCTGCGGCTGACCCAAACCTTCGGTGCTCCCCAGCCCCAGGCGCAGCCTCGTGTGCACTCTGCTCGTGGCGGGATTTCACTTCTCACTTTTCAGTGAAAACAGAGCTATCTGACAGGGGCCTCGCCAGCGGGGTAGGATGGCACCGTGCTTAAGAATGAGGGGTGTAGGGCGCCTGGGGAGCTCGGTCAGCTAAGCGTCCAACTCTTGATTTTGGCTCAGGTTATGATCTCACTGTTTGAGAGATCGAACCCGGCGTCAGGCTGTATGCTGACAGTGTGGAGCCTACTTGGGATTCTCTCTCTGTCTCTCTCTCTCTCTCTGCCTCCCTCTCTCTCTGCCCCTCCCCACTTGTGCTCTCACTTTCTCTCTCTCAAATAAATAAACTTAAAAAAAAAAAAGAACAAGGTGTCTAGGGGCACCTGGGCTGCTCAGTCGCTTAAGCATCCCACTTCAGCTCAGGTCATGATCTCTCAGTTTAAGGGTTCGAACCCAGCATCCGGCTCTATGCTGACTGCTTAGAGCCTAGCCTGCTTCAGATTCTGTGTTTCCCTCTATATCTGCCCCTCCCCCACTCACACTCTGTCTCTCTCTCTCTCTAAAGAATAAATAAAACATTAAAAAAATTTTTAAAGAAAACAAAGGAGTCTAGACTCACACAGACTTAGTCACCTTCCTGTTTTACCAACCGAAGAGCAAAGGCATAGGTCAATCATCACCTCCCCTGTCCCTGACTCCCTAGGGTTAACTGTTCTTCTATCTATGTTCTCAGAGCACTTAGCCATACCCTAGTTCAAGCTTTTTTCTTGGTTTCCCATTGCTCTTAGAATAACATCTAAACTCTGGGGGCACCAGGGTGGCTCAGTCAGTTGAGCATCCAACTCCTGATGCAGCTCAGGTCATGATCCCTGGGTTGTGAGATCAAGTACCACATCAAGCTCCACACTGAGCATGGAGTCTGCTTAGGATTCTCTCTCTCTCCCTCTGCCCCTCTCCCCCACTTGTGTGTACTCTCTTTCTAAAACAGAAAATTAAATTAAATTAAATTAATAAAAACATCTAAACTCCTTACCTACTTCCCCTGCCTCTAAGGTCACATGTGAGCCGCCTCTGGCAGGTGGTTCCACCCCCATCTCATATCTTTTCTCCGTTCACTCACCAAGAAAAAAAGTGACCTCCCATATCCGAAGGGGAGAAAACCCCAAAGTTATCTCATAACCCTAAAGGTCAACGTGAAATCTAAACCTGTTCATTATACTTCTTCTTTCTTTTTTTTTTTTTAATTTTTTTTTATGTTTTATTTATTTCTGAGAGAGACAGACAGCATGAGCAGGGGAGGGTCAGAGAGATAGGGAGACACAGAATCCGAAACAGGCTCCAGACTCTGAGCTAGCTGTCAGCACAGAGCCTGACACGGGGCTCGAACCCACGAGCTATGAGATCATGACCTGAGCCAAAGTCGGACGCTTAACCGACTGAGCCACCCAGGTGCCCCAATATAATTCTTCTTTCTTAAACTTTTACCGAAAGTAGTTTTTATTTCTAGACTGCCAACCAGCTTGGCAATTAAGGAGCATACAGAATAATAATAATGTATTCATTTATTCGTTGAGCCTTTTCTATATGCCAGACAAAGCATTAAGTGCTTCACATGCATTATGAATCCTTGCACTAATCCTATGAGGAAGCATTACCCTCACTGTAAGGAAAAGGAAACTGAGCTTAGCAAGGCTAAGCAACTTGGCAAAGGCCACAGTGCTAGTGACTGGCAAAACTGCAGGTCTGTCATTCCAAAGCTTTAGTCTTGACCATTATGCTCACCATCTTCAGAGAGCAGCTGCCAAAGGCAGACCGGGGTTAAACCCCACAGCTAATCCACATAGAACCCACCCGAGATGACACTCAAGTTTGTAGACCAGCAACCAAAATCAGCACTTTTAAAATTACGGGTATTCTGGGGGTGCCTCAGTGGCTCAGCTGGTTGAGCATCTGACTTTGGCCAAGGTCTTGATCTCACAGTTCATGAGTTCAAGCCCCACCCACATCAGGCTTTGCACTGATAGTGCACAGCCTGTTTAGGATTCTCTGTCTCCTTTTCTCTCTGCCCTTCCCCTGCTCAAGCTCACTCTCTTTCTGTCTCTCTCTAAATAAATAAATAAATAAATACACATTTAAAAGTAAATACATAAAATAAAGTTATCTGTATTGTGGATAATTTAACATCCAGGTTCATCCAAAAATACAAATACACCCATTCCCTTCTAGATAGAGCTGAGTTCCTCAGCTGCAGACCACACAGCAAATCCTTTGCCTTAGATGCTCAAAACTCATGGCATTTTGCTGCAGGTTGCATCAGGCAAAGAATACCAATCATACCCCGTTCCCATCTCTGCAAACTGAGACTATCATTCATAAGAGTAAAATTGCTCCGACTGTCAACTCATCCTGTTTCTGACTCAAATAAGGAGCATGTAGGGGCATCTGGGTGGTTCAGTCAGTTCAGCGTCCCACTTCGGCTCAGGTCATGATCTCGCAGTCTGTGAGTTCGAACCTCGGGTCTGGCTCTGTGCTGACAGCTCAGGGCCTGGAGTCTGCTTCTGATTCTGTGTTTCCTTCTCTCTCTGCCCCTCCTCCACTCATACTCTGGCGCTCTCTCTCTTAAAAATAAATAAACATTAAAAAAAAATAAGGAGCATATAACAGGCTTAACAAGATAACAGTCTGTACACTGCTCCTGCTCTAGACTCTCAGAGGAACAGTCACCGGCATGGCGCTGCAGAGGGGAGTTTTAAACCGAGAGGTTAGATTTCCACTCCATTTTCAAGGGATTATTGAAACTCAGAGGGGAACCCTAATAAAGATTAAGTAATTCTTAGAGACGAAGTTGAACTCAGAAAGAATCCCTTTCCTGGGATAAGCTGCATGCCGACAATTTGATGTGGGTGTCAGGAATTTAACTCAGGATTCAAGAAACTGACCAATATAAAGTCGTATTTAAAATGCACTACAGAACTGGGCACAGCGAAGCCTCACTCGCTGGCTGCTGACCACTGCTAACGCACATGGGCTTCTGTGCTCACGGACAAGAGGCACACTGTGTGCAGAGGATCTTGGCTTCACTTGGGAGAAAGGAGATTTAAGAGCAGATAGAAACCCCTCATTGCCAATTTCAAACAGATGTCCACGATCCACACCCAGCAGAAGGAAAGACGCCTTTGTTTTTTTATAGTCTTACCTAGAAAGCCCTCTGGCCGCAGCTTTCCCAGAGCTCAGATCCCAACAAGATAAACCTCAGTGTGTTGCAAGCTGCGCAGCAGACACAGTGCGCACAGAGAGGGAGCCGCGGGAGGGCTACTCACGCATGCAGTCTCCTCCGTACCAGCCCGCTCGGCATTCTGCGCAGTAGATCCCCTTCACGTAGAAGTCATCCAGGGTGCCACCCCATGAGCCGTTCCGGCAGGCCTTGCAGTTCTCAAAGATGGTACAGCCTGGAAAATTCCCCAGCACAAGGGTGTCAGATGGAGCACTTACGGGTTCCAATGGGCGGCACGGAAGAGGCACCACACCTTCCTGGGGCCTCGTCTCAGCTGAGGGCCTCTGGGCCTAGAAAGGGGCCTGGGCCCTTGGGGAGAAGCCCCTCACTCCTAGGGAAGTTCCAGAGTCACCAGAATCCACAGTGAAGAGTCCAGGGTCGGGGTGTCTGAACCATGTTCTGAGCCAGTGCCTGACATTTTGATGTAACATAAAATTACTTCTAGTAAAAGCTAAAATCTATCAATATAGTGTATTTATTTCTTTTTCTAAAAGTATTATGTCCTTATTATGGAATATTTAGAAAACTCAGACAGTCAAAGAGAATTAAATTAAAAACACCTAAAGGGCCATTGCCTAGGAACAACTATTGATAATACATTCTCTCTGTGTATATACAAAAAACACATTTTTTAAAAAATTAAGTTTATGTTATGTACTGTACATTCTGTTTTCGTAACTTGCCTTTTCCATTAATAATAGACAGTATCTTCTTGTCCTATTAAAAAGTCTTCTGTATCATACACTTCTATAACTCAAGTATGCCGTGGAAACAACCTTAGCGCCTAATAAGGGGCTCACCCTGGAATGGGTCACACTGCCCCCGCCAGCAGGCCACACCAGAGAGGGTTGAGTGGTTCCCAGTTAAGGGTCATTTTTAAAACACAGTCTCTTGAAGGGAGGGGGGCAGTGATGAAAGATGAAGATAATTCAATCCCACTTATCAAAATGGAGAGCTAAGTTCTCCAGCTGTGTTCCCTTGAGCAAACTGCTTAAGTTCTCTGTGCCCTCCTGTCATCATCTGTAAAACAGGTGTTAAAAACTGTACCTGCGTCTAAGGGTTGTTTTGAAAATTAAATGAACACATATAAAGGTCTCAGCACATAGTACATACCCCCCAAATATGAACTACGATTCTTATTCTGCATTCCCATACCTGCACATGGCTTATCCCTACCATTGCATATATCCCCCTCAATTTCAACTGCCTATCTAGTTGCCTATAACAGACCGAAGTCAAGAACTATATCTTTTTCAACAATATATTCCCAGCACTCAATATATCTGGAACATAGCAAGTAGTCAACAAATACTAGCTGAATGAATGAATAAATGGACAGATGAATGGATGGATGGATGGATGGATGGATGGATGCGTGGATAGATGGATGGGTGGATGGACGGACAGTAGATGAATGGATGGATGGATGGATGGGTAGGTGGATGGATGGACAGATGGATGGATGGGCAGTGAATGAATGGATGGATGGATGGATGAAAAGTGGATGGATGGATAGAAGGAAGGAAGGATGGAAGAAAGAAAGGAAGGATGGAAGGATGGATGGATGCATGGATGCATGGATGGAAGGAAGGAAGGATGGATGGATGGACGGATGGATGAATTGCTAATCTAGCTTTCTCAACCATTTGAGAAGATCAGCATTTCCTTGAGCTGACAGCACACTTCTTTGATTTGGGCTGAAATTAGGTTTTCATCAGCCTGTAGTATACACTTGTAGTTGCACACCACCCTCTTTGCACACCACCCTCACGTGGCTTCCCTGACCCAGTGCTTCTTCCCACCAGAGAAGAAGAGCTGCTAATATGATTCATCAAATCCCAGTGGGTCATGTGACCCACAACCAGATCTCAGGGGAGTCACTGTGCTTTCCAAAGGCCATCTTCACCCATGTGCCAGTTTCCCCGCTTTGGGGAAATCTTCTCCTTCCTCCTAAATGAAGCCCCTCTCCACTCTGCCACTGAGGAGGCAAACGGGCTCTGAGTCTGCCCCTAATTACCCTGCCAACTCTCTCTCTGGGCACAGTTACCTTAAGTCCTTTAGGTGCAAGCCACAAAAAAAAGTGATGAAGATGAACAAGGCTATGATGAAAAGACACAAAGTAGCTCATAGCATTGCCAGAAAAGCCAGAGGACTGAGTTCAGAGCTCCGCAGCCTCGGACCACATGAAAATACACAGCAAACGTGATCCAGGGAGGGCTCCAGTGCTGCGGGACACCACGGGGCATCACCACTGACATCCCCACCACTGTGTCCCTAGGTGTGGACCTGCCTATAACCATTGTCACCAGAGAAGACGCTTGTCTATCATAATGAGAAGAAGAATAGAAATTCTAAAACCAGGCTGAGAGCCCATCTCTCACCTTGGAGACTGGCAAAAATCCAATGATTTGTGTTGCCCAGCTTTGGGTAAACAGCACCCTCATACCTGGCTCCCGTGAGTGCCCAGTGCATGCAGGACAACATACAGGCCGGCAACAGGACATATGCACCCCTCTTTGACTCAGCAATCTCTCTTCCAGGACCTACCCCAAAGAACACCGCAAAATACTAAGTGATGTATGCCTAAGGCTAGTCACTGTAGTGTTATTTACAGTAGCAAAAGGCTGGAAACAACCCAAATACTCATAAACTATAGCAATCCACACAGTGTAGTTATATGCAAGTGTAAAAAGAGATGGGAAAAAAATGGCTTTATCCTGTCAGTGAGTGATTGCCAGCATATACCGCTAGGAGAAAAGAAAAAGCAAGGTAGTTAGCAGTGTTTATCACAGGCTATTTTTTGTGCAAGAAGGGGAAAGATATATAAATGTATATACAAATGTATATTTGCTCAAATTGTCAAATACAGAAAATAGATGGAAACAATAAACCTACCATTATATAAAGTAGGTGGTATAACACCACAGACAAAAGAACTACATCAACTGGCTGAAAACCATAGTATTTTGACTATACATATCTAGGGGGATATATTTTAAGGTCGATAAAAACCATAATCATCAGCAGTCTTGTTAGTAATAATAGTGCTATTGCTATTTTGTACAATGATATTATGTTGTAAGATAAAGCAAATAAGTGATTAGGTTAATATTATCAGGAAGCAGGGTCTTCACCGTGACAGGAAAGACATACAAATACAAAACCAACAACGTTAATGAAACAACCTTGGAATAGTACATTTGAACTTGAGTATCAGCATTAACTCATTTTTTTTGGCTTTCTTTAAAAATACAGATTTCCTAGCACAGCCTAGTAAAACAATGACAGCCCAGGAACAAGGAACATGTTAGGAGCCCAGATAATGGCATCAGCCAAGAACCCCTTCGAGAAATGGCTAATTTCAGATCTGGGGCAGAAAACTAGGCAAGAAGAGCCTGAACTCAAGCAAGTCTTCAAACACTAGTGTGGCCATGTCAAAAGAGCACAGAAGGACACAGAGGGGCTCCCCAGTGTCCTGAGACAGGGAATGAATGCACTAAAATGAAGCACGACTGAAATGCATTAAACCACATAAATAAAGGTAACTAAGTTCATAATTTCACACTTACACACACATCTCTCTGATCACCAATAGGAACTGTTAGGGCATCAGCTCACTCTTCTGAAAATTAGAAAAAGAAATGAAGTCTTTAATTTTTTTTTAATGTTTTATTTATTTCTGAGAGACAGAGAGAGAGGCAGCATGAGCAGGGGAGGGTCAGAGAGAGAGGGAGACACAGAATCGGAAGCAGGCTCCAGGCTCTGAGCTGGCTGTCAGCACAGAGCCCAACGTAGGGCTCGAACCCACGAACCGTGAGATCATGACCTGAGCCGAAGTCGGACGCCCAACCGACTGAGCCACTCAGGCACCCCAAAAGAAGCATTTATGTAGCCTGCCCTTTCAGGGGAGCCAGCTCCTCACTACTTAGATTCAAGATCATTCCTAGCATTCCTCAAGGGGTGATTCCTCTGGAATGACATAACAAGAAGATGTTGGGTGCAGCTGAGACAGGTGTTGACTGCCATCTGTAGAATGTAGTGGGAGGCACAAAGCACCACCTATGAAGCTCTCTCACATGTCATAAAATCACAGCCCCGCCCTCACCCCAATAGTGACCACCAGGCGTTTGGAAATACCAAAAACTGTTCGAAGACTTTAATACCACAACAAGGATCCCTAGTTGAGAGACCCTGGTTTAATTCTCAAAATTTTCTTAGAAACTTTGGAAGCCTTACTCCAGTATTTCCTTCTAAACCACACTCACCATCAGAAAATTGGGGCAGTTGGTTTCTTTTCTAGATCAAACATACAAAGGCTATACTAATTGCTCTCTTCTAAGAGGGAAGATAGTTTAGAAATATCACTTGTTTACTTGAGCCCCATTTTCTTTCCACTTCTATAGCTTCCCACAAAAGAAACTTCCCGAGAGTTATGTGCGTCATTCTGTATGTTGTAAAACAAGGGGAAAAGCAGAAATGAGAGAAATTTCCCAAACACACTTTTGACATCTTTTTGGTCTTCAGCCTAAGGGAAAGTGTGTCGGAAACTCTCTATGCCTTCCTTTTGATCTGGCCTACAAGAGAAAAGGGCAGACTCCCCTGGGAAAAGTCAGACAGGCCAGGCAGCACCTAGAAATTGTTCTGCGACTTGCTAATCACACTTGAAACATCTTTAGTCTGAGGCTCGGCATCCACACGGGCCTCTGCGCAGACAGGCCAGTGAAAAAGGACTATCGCTGTCCCCTCAATGATGGGGATACGGTGGTTTGGAAGAAGGCAAAGGAAAGCACACTGTGGCCTGGGAAGGTTCCGTCTCACCCCCAGATGCTCTTATATCACTGGGATCACCTCCTAAATGTCCAGCTCAGAGCCAGAGCATCATCCTTGACTTCCACTCTTCCCTTCCCTTCCCTTCCCAATCCAGCAGATCCCAAATTGTTGTCAATTCCATTATCTTGCATACCTCCAAAATCCCGCCACCTCTTCCATCTACAAGGCTTGACATTCATTAAGGTCTCTGTAATTCCTCTCCTGCCTCCCGAACCAGCTCTTCCTCCAATCCTTTCTCCATACCACAGCCAAAGAGAAATTCAGGTTTCACCTCTTTACTCAAATATCTCCAATGTTGCTACAATTTCTCCAGGATATGTATAGCCTACAGTCATAGCACAACTTGCAAAGCCTCTCAGGGCCTGGACCCTCAGACAGCTCTCTTACAATCTTGTCTCTTTGTCTATTTATCACTCTTCATATTTCTCATCTCATACACACACACACACACACACACACACACGCACACCACTTCTTCAGCCAGACCAAGGAACATGCAAGTCCCAATCCCCATGCTTTCCCTTGCCACAGGGACTTAGCACATGCTCTCCTCTATGGCTTGATCTCTCTACCAGATCCTCTCCACCCTGTTCAGTTTGCTGCTTCCATCTTCGGCACACATATCACCTCCTCCAGCCAGCCTCCACCGCCACCCCCGTCACCACCCACGCTCCGTGGGACTGTGCTCTTCTCGTACTGCAGCTGCCTGTTTACTTTTCCATCCCCTACCCCTCCCATCAGGGTATGGGCTCTGGGAATGCAGGGAATGTGTCTTTCTAAAAAAATCACTGTACTCCCAGTATCTGATATGGTCCAGAGGAGCCGCTGAGTCTTTTATTAAATGAATGAATAAGTGGATGAATTGGCAGCTTTCTCATGTTAACAGTGAAAAGGGTCCTAATTCCTCCACTTCCTTTGCCTGGAGTTAGAACGGGCAGAATCACGCCACTTTTAATATCACGGCATCCTAGCCTCCTGATATCTGTCTGCCAGAAGTTAAACATTAAGCCTCTTCCCATTCATGACCTCAGAAAACTTGAAGGCAGCCTGAGGTCTCCCATTCCATACGCACCTGGGTGAATGAGGCAGGAGTCACACTCATTCTCCTCGTTCCTGCAGCAGGGGATGGTGTAGCCCACTACTTCCTTCTTTCCAGGGCAGACGCATTCGATCTGATCGTATTCACAGCATTCCCGACACATGATGTTCCACTCGGCTCCCGGGCAGGCTTCATTAATGACTGTGTACTCTGAAATGGACACCAGCAGCTGAGGACACTTCTGGTAGGAAGGGGTAAGACCCATAAGGACACTACTGCTACGAAGCATCGTCCTGCCTCAATGATAGAGAAGGCCATGTGGATTCCTCCTAGGCTAGTGTCTCCAAAGTGGGGTGGGCTGACTTGAAAAGAGTTCAAAAGCATCCACTGGGACACATATGAAATTTTGTTAAAAGTATTACTCATTTTTATTTCTTAAAAAAAAAAGAACTGATGTTATATTAATATATAATCTGTGCATATACACATAAATAATATAAATAAGTATATATTTCTTGAGTGTCTATGCTCATTTCTATTTTTGCTGTGGTGCAATAGCTGCTTACAGCTACATAGGTTGTACACTGCACAACTCCAGGAGGAACCATTTAACTGAACAACTGTATAGCATAGCCCAGGCATTTGGGCCCTCAAAAAAGTTGGGAGACCACTCTCTAGACTTAGGCCATTCAAGTTCAAGGCTAATTGCCAAGCAGAGACCATGTCATTTCCTCCAAACTTGGCTCCTCCATTTTGTGGCATGCCATTTTTATCGTATCTTCAAAGCTAAAACTAACAGAAAAGACAAAAAGTATCTTAATTAGTATGTCTGGGAGAATTTCAATGTTTTACCAGGGTGAACTCATTGGCAGAACTTCATTCAGTCCCCAAATACAACTGAGTGTTCTTTCCCATGAGAAAAAAAAAAGTATTCCTTTTTGGGTAGGACTTCTGTCTTCCTTTCTTTTTTAAAACATACCTTAAGTAAATGAAAAGGAAAAACCATCTGCTAAAATCTATAAGAGGCATCAGTCGGAGGCTGTCCAGAGGAACCCAGCCTAAGAAACAGACTGAGCTTTGATTTGCTCGTCTTTCTTCTCCACTCTCCATTTCGAAAAATTTTGCACAAAGACAATGATTGAAGAAGAAATAGGTCAGATATTTGAGGGAGAAAGTGAATCTGGCTTGTCTGTGAAGCCTTCCCTTTAAAACCCTGGGCAAGGCTCCCCCAACATGCTTTGCAGGCCCACATAAACCAACTCCAGCATCTGTGGTGGCTTCTAACCCTCGAATTTCACAATTTAGTTTTCTGTTTTCCTCTCCTAAATTTGGAAGCCTGACACTGAGCTGATCATCCTTAATCTGCCCAGTAGAACCACCTAGAGAAACTATCGCTATCTCCTGTCAGCCTCTGGTCATAAGAACATTCTAGCATCATAGAAAGGAACCACTTGCATAATAAAGGATGCTTCCTGAAATGGAATAGATTCGGCTCTTTGAAAAATGTTCTTATTGTTTTGCCACAAACTTTGGCCAACCGGCCAAGGTCCTCACATTGGCATCTGGGAATGACTGCTGGAGATTACTGTGATGTCACTACCAAGGTTTTGTTCCCCACCCCACCCCCACCCCCGCCACTCCGCGGGCCCCTCCAGGACAAACACCAGGACAGACACTCAGCCTCCCATGTGTCTGATGTTGGCTGGAAGAAGCTAATGACTTCTACAGTGTAGATGAGGCACACCTGGGTGGCTCAGTCAGTTAAGCATCCTACTTCAGCTCAGGTCATCATCTCACCGTTCGTGGGTTCAAGCCCTGTGTCAGGCTCTGTGCTGACAGCTGAGAGCTTGGAGCCTGTTTTGGATTCTGGGTCTCCCTCTCTCTCTACCCCTCCTCCCCACAAAAGAATAAACATTTGAAAAATTAAATGAAGTAAATAAAATAAAATGTAGATGAGAACATAATGGTTAAAAATGAGAAAGAGCAGGAGAAAACACAGGGTAAATTTCCATCGTACTTGGCAATGAGTCCTTAAATATGATGCTTAATCATGAACAACAGGGGAAAACTGATAAATGGGACTTTATCACAATTAATAAATTTTATACAACAAAGGAAATTGCCAAGAAAGTAAAAAGGCAGCTTACAAAATGGGAGAAAAGATTTGCAAATGTAATATTTGATAAGGGCTTCATATCAAAAATACATAAAGAACTCTTACAACTCAACCACAGAAAGACTAACAGGCAGGTAGCATGAAGAGAGAATTCTCCAAAGAAGATAAGTAAATGGCCAATAAACTCCTAAGAAGATGGTTGACATCAAAAGTCACTGGGGAAATACACATTAAACCCATGAAGAGAAACCAGCTGATGGTACTAGGCTGGCCATGAAAAAGGGAAATAACAAGAGTTGGCAAAGATGTAGAGCAACTGGGACCCCCGTGTGTTGCTGGTGGGAATGTTAGGTGGGCGCAGCAGAAATCAGTGTGGCGGTTCTTGCAAAGGTAAACATGGAAATACCATATGGCCCAGCTTTCTACTCCCACCTATCTTCCCAGAAAATCAAAACTAGAGACTCAAAACAGACGCACGTATGCCAACGTTCACTGCAACATTATTCCTCAGAGTCAAAAGGTGGAAACAACCCAAGTGTCCATTGAGAGGTGAGTGAGTAAACAAAATACGATGCAGGATACAATGTTACTCAGAGTGTGGAATATTACTCAGCCAGGAAAAGGCATGAAGCACTGCTCCCTGCACGTGCTTGGTATGGACGGATCGTGAAAACATGCCAAGTGTTAGTCTAAGTGAGAGAAGCCAGTCACCAAAGGACAAAGATTGTCTTGAAAAAGTTTTGGAAACAGTGGTAACGCTACACAACACTGTGAATGTAATTCGTGCCATGGAGCTGCATTCCTTATAGGATTAATACGGTAAATTTTAGGTTACGTATATTTTGTCACAATTTTCTTAACATAAATAAAATTGAGAGAAAACAAAATGGTTACAGGCACAATCCCTGGAGTCAGACAGACCTGGGTCTAGAATGCCACTTCTGCTACTTCCTGAGGGTAAGACCTTGGCCAAGTTACTTTACTCACTCAGCCTCAGTTTACCATCCAGTAAAATGAGCACATTTTCTCCAACTTAAAGGACTAAATCATATCACGTACCTGAAGAGCTTAACACAGTACCCAGTATGTAATAAGCATTCAATAACTAGTAGCTTAAAAAGGAAAAAGCACAGAACACTCATATTTCTCAAGGACCTTATTTTTTTAATGTACAGTAAAATCTTGGTTTGCAAGCATAATTCGTTCCAGAAACATGTTTGTAATCCAAAGCACTTGCGTATCAAAGCAAATTTCCCCATAAGAAATCAGAATGATTTATTCCACAACCCAAAACTATTCATATAAAAATGATTACGATACTGTAATATAATACAAAATAATAAAGAAAATATTTAAAAACTAAGCAAATTAACCTGCACTTACCTTTGAAAACCTTCATGGCTGGTGTGAGGGAGACAGAAAGAGGAGGGTTATTGTATAGGATGACTCACTATCACTAACGGATGTTGACTACAGTGCAGTATTCATAAACTTCTGTCATGTACTGTATTTAATGTAACTGGCAATAAGGCAGCAGAGGAAAGGGTCTGTATGCGCAGGCAGCCTGACCTAGCATGAAGCAAAGCACTCCTAAGCTTATTTTTGTGTGGAAAAGTAAAGGACTGTCCATAGGTGCTTTGAAGTGACAAAAAATACACTAGTACCAGTTGTGGGCACCTTCCAATGTTCTGAAAAGTCCCTGATTTCTGCCAAACATCATGGCTTGAGAATAAGCATCCGAGCATGGGCGACAATCACCCACAGCGAGAGAGACAGACAGACAGACAGACAGACAGACAGAACCACTGGCTCAGCTGTCATCATGTGAAATTTGGCATCACATACTATTCATATTGCAAGACACTGCTCGTTTAACAAGTTAAAATTTATTAGACATGTCTGCTTGTCTTGCAGAACACTGGCAATCCAAGGTTTTACTGTATAGCATACCAGTTTCTTACTTAAAATCTTCATGTTGTCTCCTCCTGCCTTCAGAACAAAGCCCAAATGCTCTGCTGTGGCCCACAGGCCTTTGAGAACCCTCCAGCCCTTGTCCCTCCAAACCTTTTCTTTTTTTGTTTTTTTTTTTAATTTTTTTAAAAATGTTTTTATTTATTTCTAGGAGAGAGAGAGAGACAGTGTGAGCAGGGGAGGGTCAGAGAGAGAGGCAGTCACAGACTGAAACAGGCTCCAGGCTCTGAGCTGGCTGTCAGCACAGAGCCCAACGCAGGGCTCAAACCCACGAACCGCGAGATCATGACCTAAGCGAAAGTCGGACGCTTAACCGACTAAGCCACCCAGGCGCCCCATCTCCAAACCTTTTCTTGTCCATGGTCTCCCACCTTCTAGAAGTTTTTCAAAACCACCGCGCTCTTGTCCACCTCAAGACATGTGAAGGCTCACATGTGGTTTTCCCACTGCCTCTGTTTCACCCTTTCAGGCATTCTTGTAAGTGACACCTCAGGGAGGTTCTCACTGACTTCTCCTCTGATGTGCATGCTTCCGCCCACCCCTCCATGACCATCTCTGCTGAGTATTCCCTGGCATAGCCCTTACCCCAACTTACACTCATTTTCTATGTTCCCAGTTACGTGCTTGTTGTTTGTGTCCCTTATGTGACCATAAGCTAGTAGGAGCCATGTCTAACTTGTTCACGGCTACTAGGGAAGGGTCTGGCACACCACAGGCGCTCAATAAATACTTGTTGAATGAGCCCGCCTTCACACCCAAGCTACCCTCTCTTCAGTAGTCAAATTTTTCCATCCAGTAGGTCCAGCTTGGAGTTACAAGCCAGTGGGGCTGGTTTCCTCCCCTAATTTGCTCTTATGGTGAAGGAACTTTCCATCTGCAGAGAAGTCTCCGGGACAGTTGGTCCAGGTTGCCTGCCTTGGGTCCAAATCCCCCTCCTTGTCAAGCTGTGTGTGATCTGAACCCCGGGAACAGCAAATATGCCTGAGAGGTGTGGTTCATGTCTTACCCCTACCTCTGTTCACCTTATGGTGAGCCCTACATCCTTCAGGGTTTTCTAAGAACTTATAAACACTAAGAACTCCAGAAGGGCAATGGCAGGATAAAAGTAATTTGCAACTTTTAC